CCCCCCCCCCCTCCAGAGAAAAAGCTGGATTTGCTGGATTCCGGATGAGAAGTGATGATAGTCTCCGATGCGAGCGGTATCCCGCAAAACGATTCCGCTGTTCCAATATTCTCTCGGCATCTCTTCCGCTTCCTCAATAATTGGAGGGTCAAAATCCTCGGCGACTTGAACTTAGTGAGTCTCTGGGAAGAGGAGTGTGAACAGGAAAACAGGTTTCATGATCCCGTACACGCGGTCGACAAGCGGGCACGGCGGATGGGATCAGGAGCGAGGGTGAACGCATTCGCAAGGACCCTGATAAAGGATAGAAACCACGCATCCGTTTCTTATATGGGGATGGCGGCCTCTGCTTGTGCGTTAACGTGGCCCGAGCTCGTGAAATCCGATCGCCAGGATTCGTTCTGGGCCTGCCTTAGGTCTTCAATGGCGAGCTGTAATTAAGTTCGATGTATTGATTGCGAGTCTTATTGAGCGTGCTGGTAGCGAATAACCTGAGTCAGATTGAGCGGGGAACGCCCGCGGTACGGTTTAATCAGAACTCCCGGAGCGTTGGAACTTGTGTCAGCAGAATATTTGGAGGAGCTGCGAACTCCTGTAGACGCTCAAAAGGGCCTGATCGGTATCTGATCCGTCCTGCTCGGTTCCATGCAAGGCATTTGAGAAATCTCTCATGCTCCTTGCTCTGAGGAGATCCGTATCAAGATTGTGATTCGGAGGATCAGACGGAAAATGAGTATTGGCTTAATCTTCATTGTTCTTCGATACGTAAGCATAACCTCACAGACTAGCTTCGATATACGATCTGACGAGCTGTGCACTCAGTGACGCCGCTCCCGGATTCACGATAAAGAGCAATTATTGTTCCCTCCGCGTAACTCATCAAACTCCGCCGGAACGATTTTGGGGATGTTTTCCATTCAACCCATAACATATCTCGATCTCCAGATGTATCGTTACTTTGTCGGAATGACTCCTTGCTCGTGAAGAGGATAGAAGTACGGTGCATAGCTGTTTGTCCGTGATTCACAGATTCGATCTGGTTCGGTGGGTCCATTTTCTGACCGACTAAGGTCTCCCGTAATGCCAGCCGAGAGGAACCGGTGAGTTGGATTAGGAACACAGCCGAACCGCCTTCAAGTCTCTATTATGGAGCTTACGATGTTCCAGTGGGTTCATGCCACGTCATTCGGCTCCGGAGACGAAATCCGGCAGTTCTCCGCTGTTTCGCAGGGTTTGAGCTCGCTGCGGAATTCTCCTTCTCTGGATTATTCTGTGATCTCCGGAAGCGTACTCAGAAGGGTGGGGAGGGGGAGGGGGCAAGCGTGCCGGACATCGTTGTGCCCCTCCCCCCTCGAAGAAACTTCTAGGCACGCCCCTGGTGTTCGGTGTGCCCCTTGTGTTCTGTTTTTCGTTTGTTTCATCCAATAGAGGACGTCGCTCCGCTCCTTCAATGGGTATGAATGATTGTAGGGCGTGATCTGCCGTGGGCGGCAACCTTGTCCGGGCTCAGAGCGAGTGAGGGGGTCAGCGAGAGTACCGATGGGTGATCATGAGACTATCGCAGTCGCTGTCAGCTGGTCGCTGTCCGGGGCGAGAACTAGCGAATTGCGGACCCTCCTGTCTCTATTCCGTGCTCAGTCTCGGAATTTCTTGGACCATTGTCCCGTGTCGGGTCCTATGGAGGCCAAAGTGATAAATTGTAGACAAGGTCTAGAGGAGAGGCTTCCTTTGACCACGCCATGCCACGCACCGCTCGAGGGAGCATCAACGGGAAGGAGACGGAATAAATGAGGAGGATCGAATGAAGTTTGGACTCGGATATCCAGATGGAGTCTGCTTTCTCCGATCGAGTTGAAATTCATGTAATCGCTTGAAGACGGTTCTCCGTGGGAGGACGGACCGTGCTTTTTCGTTTTGGGTTTACACGGACACAAACGGCGGCTTCGGAGTTGAGCTAAGATTTCTCCTTTCGGGGGTCGATGAGAACAGGGACAGGAAAACCCCCCGTCTGTCGCCTGATGCCGATCGCGGCCATCTCCGACGTCGCGTCGCGCCGGAATATATCGAAATACAGCGTTTCATCATCCTAAGATATCGTATTCCAAGCCTCGTACCTCCCCCCATCTGTGGGCGGGAAGGAACAGAAGCACGTGTAGCGGAGAGGGTCGCGGAGCCCTTGCTCCCTGAGGAAGAGATCGCGGACTTTGGGCACTTGTGAAGAATTCAGAGCTCCGCCTCGAAGCACCGTGGACGAATGTTTTGTCTGGTTTCCCGTTACCCTCGTTTTTCCAGCAGCTTCAGGCTGTTCCGTTAGCTGTGTCGGAACTGACTCTATCTGCGGACCTCGGGGAACAAAAAACAACGTCACACCGTTGTTTCTGAAAATGTAAGCAGTATACTTGTAGTACTTCTTGGTCGAAATCGCGGCGGTTTCCGAGGTAATTTATCTCGTCGAGAACCCGATGACTCGAACTAAAAAAAACTGACTCCGGGGGAAAGAAACTTTGGCCTATCCTCTGGAAACTCCTCAAATCGTCTGAAGGCGCTCTACGTACCGGTTCCAAATCATTGAGAATTCTAGTCTGATCCCGTGACTGGAGAGTTTTTCAAATCGGGGGCTCGATCGCAAAAAACCGCGCGGTCCGACTCGAATAGAGGAAATCGCGGAATGTTTCCACCTCTTCAGCTTCCGAAAGGCCAACTTGTGTGTGTCGATTCCGCAGATAACTGTCGGATTAGTCGCTCGACTCGATTTGCCTGACGCGATTCATGCCGATTCTTCGGAACTTCTGCTCAGAGTCTAGAGCGAGGGAACGGAACGATTCAGAACGCATGGATTGATGGTCCGCGAGGATCTCTCGCTTATTCGACGTCACGTTCTCCCCCAGCTCCGCGAAATGAGCATTCGAAATTAGAAACCATTCCGCCTTTTCATAAGACATCAATCCTGGCGCCACGGCGTTGTACCTCCGTACACAAATCTCTCGAGCTCCAGGACAAAAGCATAATTTTTGAATTAGAAGGAAGGAGCGCTAGACCGGAGGGAGTTTCTAGAAACGTGGTTGCGCGTTAATCATAATATCAGGATGGATAAAATGAATAGGACAGCGGGGTGAGAACCGGGGTCAACGACCGCTCGGGATTTTTCATCAGCCTTCATTGTATTGAGTTGCTGAAAAGCCACTCTGTCAGCGCCGTCGAAAATCCTTCGTGCGATCCTCACCTCGATGTAAATTTCCTCCTTCCTGCCCGTCTCCTGTAGATCGTCGTAAATAGACTCAAATACTACGAAACCGTAATCCCACGTCTGACCTCGTCCGTGTGGCATCAACTGGTATCAATAATATGCATCATAAATTGACCAAATGAGCTGCGCATCGCTGCGGATATCTATTTAAGACCGCGGCTGCATGAGACGTATGGCCGGTCTGAGCACCGGTGCCCATTTGATTTGCCGGGACGATTCTCCGGCGCTGTGCATTTGAGGGAGAATGCCTCTGTCTGACTAATGTAGGACCTTCCCACTATCATGGATCATTGACGACGGGGCGCTCTCCTCGACTGAGAGATTGCGCCGTCCCTTCGGAATCTTCTCGTAGCTCACTGATCACACGAACGATAAAGGAGTGGAAGCCCACGACGTGTATCGTTGAGTCCGTGTACTCATACCTCGCTCCTACCTGATTGTTCCGATTAAAAAGGAGAAGAGCTCCCGGCTCATGGGGTTTTCTCCGTACCGAAGAGGGTTCGCTTTCGGCTCTCGGCTCTCGACAAGGACCGAGAGCCGAAACTCAACGCTAATCCTCAGGACCCGAGATCGCGCGAAACGCCCCCTGGAAAATTGATGGAATACCGATACGCTTGGAAAATTCTCCGTATCTCCTGGAAGCTTCCGGAGAGTTCTGGTCCCAGTTTCGCGATGCTAACGATCGCTGCTCGGTCGAACGAGCCGCAGTCGATTTCTCGGAGTTGAGGCTTCACTTTTCTCGCATTGTTTCTGTTCCCGACAGGGCATGAGATGGAGGAGGGGAGACAGACGGCCGCGGAACCTTCGGTTTACGCCCAATGGCTCGACCGAGGGTGATTCCTCAGATTTTTCGATGTTCTGACAAGCTCAGCCTGCGGGCAACAAATTGACGACGCGATCAGAAAGTCTGAAACAGAGCGGATATTTCCAACACTGTCGAGGAAGGAGCGCCGGAGCAGCTGGATCCCTCCCCCGTCGATTGATATCCGTGTCCCATACGATCCTCAGTGTCTCGTGTCTCCGCTGAGAGCGACCGAATTTAATATCCGACAGAGCCATTTTTCGGAAACGATTCTCTCAGCGCTCTCATGGGGATTTTTCCCGAGAATCAAGCAACGGGTTCCCTTCGAGGCTGCAACTTGTCATGCTCATGATTCAGCTTGCCGAGTCGACCGTTTTCGTCAGGAGAATTCGCGCAGGACACATTCAAGAAGGACGCGCTGTCTTCTGACAGGGAAGAATGTCTTGGTTGAGATATTCGCGTTGCTCCTGCGCGTGGTCATTAGCATCATAGTTACGTAACTCGAGGAACGTCCTCAACTTAACAACTTCCGCGTTTTCTGTTCTCAAACAGAACGACCCCTTGACGACGGCTTCCGAGCTGACGAAAGCTGCTCTCTTCCTTGAATTTAAGTCCATGAGCACAAATTCTGACTGAGCTTCCAAGGAGACGTCCAAAACATGAGCAGCTCGATCGTAACACGGAGCCTGCAAACGGAGCGCCTTCATTAGGCTCTTCTCTGAACGAGCCTTCCTTAAGAAGAGTCCACGGAGTTTCCTCGATTTCCCGAATCCTAACCCTTCTCGATTGCTCCTCCGCAACCGGTGCCTGTTTAATGAGGATCGTCGGTCAAGTCGATTCCTGCTTTGTGTCTCGATGAATGAGCTTCTCATCGATCAACCCATTGATACAGATAGACGTTCGGTCCGATGAACGCATGTGTGCGCGGTTCACCAGTATAAAATTGCATTCGTGAACACAAAAACTTTTCAAAACGAAATCTCTCTTTGCAGATGACTTGAAGAGCCTCCGAGCACGGAGGCATGAACCTCTCGCAAGTGCTTGCATTTTGCGCAGCCCTATGGGCTGGCGTACAATGTCGATCTGGAAGGGACTACCTGCACCGAACCCACTGTCCCCAGGATTCATACGAGACCGGCGGGTCTGGACCAGTAGACGAAAAGAATCCCACCATGCATTCACGAGGACGGGGGATGGCCCACAAGCCCGAAATAAAGATCGGATTTTTAGGTGAGATCAAAACCCTAGAACGCGGTGTGCAAAAGGAGCAGAACAAGCATCGACGATTCGCTGCTCATCTTTGGGCGATCAGGCAATGCCTGGGAGAGGCGTTATCAACGTTCTAAATCGACTCTCAGCGGAGGAGGTTGTGGCGTCGGAAACTGCGGAAGTCCCAGCGGACCCGGCGATACTGACCCGGCGACGGATCTCAAGAACGAAACTCGAGATGATCGAGGGCCTTCCGAGCAGTGTCTCATCTCTGAAGAATGATGGCCGCTTGAACTATCGCAATCTAATAAAGCTAATTGATCAAATCAGAAGTCCCCCGCCTGAATTCCGAGGTCGAACCGGGTCGCGTATCAAGTCCACGGATGTCTCAACGAGAACTTCTCCTGGCCGTTTTCGGGGCTCGAGGAAACGGGAGTTTTGGGATGAATAATTCCGTCCATACCGAGACGGATCGGTCGAGTGTTTCATCATCGTCGAAAGTCTCCAAGCTCCTCTACGAGCCGGTGAGCTCGAGAGGAGCGGTTTCCCCCCGGTGATAATTATAGCATCATTCGGAAGAGACATCGGAACTCCCCGTCGGAGTACAGCCCACGCGCTCTTCAATGATTCACCAGCACCGACTGAGTGAGAGCTATCAGGAAATGCTTGAGAAGTACCGTCCGTGGAGTACGTCGGACGTGGAGCGAACGGCATCCTACGAGTGTTGATGCTTGACGAGAGCGTAGCGCACTTCGTCGCCAACGCCATATTTCGGATTAGCTGCTGGGCGCCTTCAAAGGATCAGTCGACGGAACGGATAATAGGAGATCCGGAATCGGATTATAGATCGCGAGGTTTCGCTGATCTTGGTCGCTGAGGAGTCCCGCCCCAGCTGCGGGAATCCCGCAAAGAACGTCTGGAGAAAAAGCATCGGCTCTAGAAAAGAACACGTCACGGGGGAATGCTGAAGCAAAGGGAAAGAAGATCTCCGTCTGACGTGTCTAATGGTCATTAGTACACAGGAGAGCTCATCGACCCCTCGAGCTCGAGTTCTCCTTCGTTTCTGTTCAACTGTGTACGTGCCGAATTCCCGAAAATCGTCACCGTGGGTCGTCATCCATGAGAACATTGATCCCTCAGTAGGTGGTCGAAACATACCCATTACGGTTCGTTTCGGGCCTCAGGAGAAAGCTCCAGAGTTACCACAGGAGTTCAACCGGGGAATAATCGTTGAGGAACTCGACTCGAGGGAAAATCTCGGGTTTCCCAAATCAAGAGATTGAAGCCGCCACCGGCTTCACAGTTCATCCCGGAGCTCCACACCCGGCGTTGAGTTCCCCTAACGAAGCTACGAAGACTGATCCTAAGCCTAGAGGGTTCGATACGGATAGTTCAAGATGACGGATGATCGCGTATGAGAAAAAGAAGCATTTCGTGCGTTCGATGCTTAACTAAAATCGGGAAACGGAGAGGCATGATACGAACTAGGCGGATAAACCCATATCGCCCTCACGCAAAGTAGATCAGTCTTATTCTCCTGCAGGTACGTTTCACAACGGACGGATGATTGGAAAACTAGTCGTGGGAGCTGTACCACTCGCTGTCCACGACGTCAATGTGAGCCCCGACGTTCTTCCCAACCACAGGTAAAGGAGAACTCCGGATGATGACGCGGATTCAGGGGTTCGGTTTCCTGTTTCTGTACTCCCGCGATCCCCCGCTTTCGTTCATCAATCAGACTTTTCCCCTTCTCCATGAAGCTCAGACCAGAGTCGCCCGACCGTTCGGTCGCGCCGAAGTCTCGTCGAGTATTCTGGGCGATTAAAAACCTATCGATGTTACAAAGGCCGAACTCCCGATTTGATGGTTCTACCACGAGGAAATCTGGGACCTCATTTGAAATTCAATGTAAACCAAGTCGTCGTCGTCCCGTAAGAGCTCGCTTAGGGGGCTATTTTTGAAAACGTTACTGGCGAATATATTCCCAGCGAGGAAGTCGGCGTCCGCTCGGACGGCTCGGAGCGAGAGGGAACTGCCATATTGCATGCGACAAGCGGTAGAAAAAACTCGTTCCGACTCGTTTCCGTCATGTCCCGGTCCCGCGCGATAAGCAGCTCTAATACCGTTCGAATGCAGAACCCGTGCGGTTTCCTGCATGGAACCCCATCGGTTTTCTCGCCTCTATTAGTTTAAGGAGGTCGTTACCCCTCACGACATCCAATCACAGCTCTCCATCCCCTCCCCCTCGACGCCCCTCTCTAGATATGGCATTTCTGGCGTCCTGTCAGTCGAAAGAAATCTTTTGAAAATTCTCATCGGCGTCGACATGGATCATTTTTTTCTCTCTTCTGACCCGGAGCTCCCATTCACTGCTGTCTCCGAATCTCTGGAAGATCGTCTGCCAAGACTTGTCTCCGGCCCGTTTGTCAGACAGATAGTCCACTAGGAGAGGCTATCCAGGGTCAGAAGGAGCGGGGCCAAAGACCTCGATTTCGCACTGTGCGAGCAGACTCATAAATTCAGAGATGTCATCAATTATCTAAGCGATGGATGTTCGGTCGACCCCTCTCGAATGCTCGGCACAATTCCGTCGCTTCCTTGAGCTTTCGAGCGATCCCGCGATGACTCCATTACGGTTCCAGGTTGACTTTCGTGGCGGAAAATGTCGGAATGCCGGACACTTCGGGCGGTGTGAAGAAAATGACTGAACTCCGAAACCATTCGATCAAGGCGTTCATCGGTCCTGACGAAAGCTGTTACGCGGAAGCGCTCGTGGCGGATGCCTGGAATCTACCGATGATTACTTACGTGAGTAAATCCCCCGCTTTTCATTCCTGGGGACGGACGGTCAGAACCAGCACGAGGATTCGGGACTCTGTAGGCGAGAGAAGCCCAAGTAAGAGGTCGTCGCTCATCCTGGATTGAAATCGAGTGTGCACGGACATAAAAACGCGCGTTCGGAGCAGCAGAATGGGGGAGTCCGAGAGGCAGAGCACAACATGACCGACAGCCACGATGCTGCGCTAAGTGTGTTCGTTATGAACGAACTGTACTAATCTGTTTTCCGAGATAACAAGGTCGGTGACGCGACAGCTTGCTTTTTCGTTATTGGATATTCATGGCGGTCGCTCCCACTCGTTCGCACGTCCGGTTTCCCCAGTTACGGGCATCGTTTTTGTGGGTGCTTGCGATGAGCAAGCTCGAAGCTCATACCGGAGGTGGCTTCGTTACTGCTGACTGCATCGACCGACGTCGGCGTGAATCAGCGTCACCAAGCAAGCGAACGAGCTAGAGCCCATGATACCCTCATCAAGTCGGAGGGCAAAGAACAAACGACAACCAGCCTTCATTTCCGCATGAGAATCTCGTCCTCGGTGCGGCATACTCCCACGTTTAATTTGGATTCCAACGCAGTGAATAGAGGGGGCGGTCCCCAATCGGGCTGCGGTGACGCACCAATGATGCGGACGAGGTTTCTCCTTCCTGCGCGAGTTTTGCGTGAGGAGGGGTGATTCCGGAAAAAGGCCTTGTTCATTAGAGAAGATCCTGATTGTATTATCCTCAATTTCCAGATGTGTTACGATCCGAGAGTGAGCCGCGGAGAGGTATTCCGCACCTTCGCACGTACCCTACCCTCCAGTTCAAAAGTACGTTCGTTAAGAATGCACGTTCCGTTTCAAGAATGCACTCGGCTCGAATAGCTTCTCACTGAATAGAGTCAGACAAGAAAACCTTCGTCTGTGTTTAAAATCTCATTCCGCGACGGCCAGGACCGAGGAAGATATTCTCCTCGGAGCAGCGACCCGGAGTTTTTTTCGATTGGAGTGGATTGTAATCGAGAGGAGTCTAAAGTTCAGTAAAACGCAGGTGAGCAAAAGTGTCATCGCCCTCCTGAAATATTTCGAGTGGAACAGGATAACGCTCATCGTAGCAGAAACCACGATGTACATCCAGACACAGGAGGTGAGTCGAGCGGAAATCTCTAGAATCCTGTCTGCGACATGAAAGCTTCACGCTGCTGCCAGCAAAAAGCTCAGCGAGACGTTTTTCGCGGCGACGCTATGTTGATGGGGAGTGAAAAGCTAATAAGGCTGAAATGAGAAGGACAGAAAAGAAAGTTAGATACAGGCTCATCGTCCTCCCCGCACGCGGTACCCATCGGACTTGTATCGTCTTGTTCAGCCGAAGCTTCGTATTGTCTCGAACGTCTCCCTCCCAGCCCTGCATCCGTTCATACCACCTGCTTTCCTTCGTTGACGTGTCTCTGGTTTGTAGCTCGCTCTCTTGTGGGGTAACTAATGTCTTCTGCGCGAGAGAAACTCCTGTAACTACCAACCAGGGAAACAGATCCGGAGAATTACCTGGCGCAGATGGTGCACGCCTGGTTCCGTTATCTGGCGGGCATAGCTTCACAGTGGTGTCATTGACATTGTCGCTCGAACGGCAGGTACTCGTTCAACTCGCGAAACAGAACAACATTACTGCAACGAGCTACATGATTACGGGCGACTACATGGAGAAGAATAAAGCCGCTCTGCGAAGAATTGTCCAGGACTCTTTCAAGACAACACGAAGTGAGTACAAAAAGGCAAACAAGCCCTCGGCGTCACGAGAAAGTCTTATGTCACCGAGGCGAGAGAGATTTTGAGGTCGTTCCGCGCAAGAATGTTTGTCCCGACGCGGGAGGGATTCCTTCGGAGCGGAGACACCTCGAGAAATCACCAGCGAAGGCTGGCGTTCGAGTCAGCTCAACGGAGGGTGGGGACGAGGCAGCTCGTAGAACCAGGAAGTAGAAAATCTCTGCGTAGGGAAGAAAGTTTACACAAAACTGCAAATCCCTAAATACGACGGACGACGCGACGGAGCTCGATGTTCTCTCCGCTGACGAGCTTCTGTGTTCTTTTCCTCGCTTCTCGTCGCGGCCCAGTTTACGTGCTCCTGACAGACACTCATGCGCTGATCGATTTCGTGGGAACCATGGATGCTGCTGGTCTCTTAGCGGGCGGTGAATACGCGATCATTTCTGTGGAGGAAGATGAGATCTACAACCCTCATCTCGAATATCAATACATGATGAAAGGTTGGTGCTGCTCATTCAAGATCGCGTATTTGCGACGCCAAACAAATAAATATCTAGTTTATCGATCTAAATCGTCGTCCGATGCATGACGCTCGGAGTTCGCACGAGGGATCCGTATTGGTGACAGGAATTGATCTGTGAGAGTTGACCCGATCTGTGACGAGCTATGCTCCGCGTTGACAGAATGGGATCGCCAGAAACACGTTAACTTCGACGCGACGCCCTTCCGATCAGTGCTGATGATCACACCGTGCGCGCCCCAACTCGAGGCGTACCAGAGGTTTCAGGAAAATGTTCAACGCTTCGCAGCGCAGCCGCCTCTCTGCATTCCTTTCCATCCGCAAGTACAGGTAGGAAGATTCTCTGTCGTGTCGTGTGATCTTCCGGAATTCATCGGGAGTCGCATCGATTCGGACTGCTGTCGAGCTAACGTCGGAACGAAGGATGTGCGCTTCATCCATCACTCGCTTGTAGGTCGAGATTCCGCCGTACGCCGCAATGGCCTACGACGCCGTTTTCCTGTACGCTCGTGCCGCGACGGAAATCCTCAAAAGGAACTTGAGCCTCGATGACGGAGCGGTTCTCATCGCAGCCATTCGCAACAAAGTTTACCGCAGTGAGTTTCAATAGAAGTCATTATTCTACCTCTGGGACGATGGCTCTGCTTCGTCTCTCTGCCGCGGCGCATCGGTGAACGTTCCTCCGAGTTAACGTAACGTGACTTGATGAGGGAATTGAATCATCTCTGAGTGAGCTAGAAACCTCCAGGTCCGTCACGTAGACAACGAACGGAAAAATTCGCTTATTTCGTGATCGAGTCGGAGGTCATTGACGTTTGAAAGGCAAGACGTGATCAGTGTCCAGAGGTGGTCGCTTACCGAGTCGAGAGCCGTTTGCCATTGGCTTTGTGACGTCTGCGTGTACTCACACGGACTGGCGGTTAGCTGATCGACTTCCGTGAACTTCGACGTCGATTGAAGAGACCGGATGCGTAAACGACCATCCGTTTAGTCTAAATATGGCAATGGATTTACTCGACTGGTTTTAGTCGACACTCTCGTCTACGATGCCCCTGGAATGCGAGGTCATGACCTGGATGCCAAGTAGCTTCGGAGATTCAGCCGCGGGCCTCCGTCGTCTGTCTGTCGGTCATACTCAGAGAAGGATCGACGACAGCGGCTTCTCGTCCTGTGAGAGCTGTAGTGCGTAGACAATCATTTCGACCGGAATTAGAGCGTCTCGGCTCGTATGCTCTTCCGTTTCAGGCGTATTGGGCTACGACATACGAGTAGACGAAAACGGAGAGGCCGAAGGGAACTATACCGTATTGGGTTTCACAAACGCCAGCGATGAGCACCTCTCGCCAATCGGGCGGTTCTCCCTCTCAGAGAACGGATCTTTGCCAGTGAGGAAGTTTCCCCTTTTCCAAGGATTCCCTTCTCGATTCTGCTTCGATCACTCTCCTTGTTTCGTCTTTCGTGCCTGCATAGTCGTCATTGGTGCTCTCTCCGTCGTCCAGAGAAAAAATTAAATTCCCCATTAACCCCATCGGTGCAGCGATTTTTCTGATGACCCACCAGCTGGCGTCCATTTGAAATGAAGCTCCCCCATAACGACATGGCTGTACTTTCTCATTTCCTCAGGTGTTCCAATTGGAAAGCGAAGTTGCCTGGCTCGGAGCTGGACCTCCGGTCAGTGAACCTCAGTGCGGTTTCTTTCGGGAAAAATGCATTTCTAAGCAGGGTGAGTCAAATCTCCATACCGGTGGAGTGGTGCTATTCTGGGCGTCGGAGGGCCCCTTCAAATTCTCCCGCAGAAAGGAGAACTTCGGTCAAGCGAGGCTGGGACGGAGTGAAAAGTCGACAGGATTGATAGTATAAGCCCTCCGCGCTCTATTCAAGATTGGCGGAGCGTTCTCTTGATAACTTCGTGCACTTCGCTGGTGCTTGCGGCACTCATTGTCGCTATCCGACACTATCGATACGAGTACAAGTTGGCGAAACTCCTCTGGAAAATTGACATGAAGGATGTGCTCACGCTCCGACAGCAGGGAAGTCGACCTTCGCTCCAGAGCACAAAAATATCGCCACCGGTAAGAGTGTTTAATTTGCATGGAAGGATGCATGGCTGCATGCATATGTGTGATGGAGTAAGAATGCGCGATCACGCTCCCGTCGTCCGAGCTTAGCTGTGACGCATCACACAGCAGTGCCGTATTCCCTTAATATTGCTGCTTCAAGGGAGGAAATCTTTTGTTCGGGGATTAGAGTCGCGGCACGCGCGAGGGAACCCACGCTACAACGGAGTCTCTCGAATTCCGCGGAACTATGTCGCGAATAATGAGTGCTGCAGAAAATTCCCCGTGTCGGAGCTCGATGCATTCAGTGACGCCCCAATCCGCAGCTCTGCGAGAGCCATGACCTCCTTAGGAGGCTTGTTCGTGGCATCTCCGTGTGTCCTATGTCATCCCAATAGATCATCCCGGGTGAAATCTGCCTCGCTGAGGCCGAACTGCCAGGGCGCATCGTCTTCCCTGCTCTTTCGTCGCTCTCCGGACATTGCGCGATGTGATTATCGGTTTCGAAAGAGAACGCATGAGAATCGTATGGATAGCGAATAATCAAGGCGGCGTGATTAACGCTACTGATTTGAGCGTCCGAAGATAATCCATGGAAATCCCGCAGAGGGAAGTGCGGGGCCCTGCTCGAGCCCTCCGGGATGTCATCCCGCTCCGGCAGATCTCATAATGGAGACTGTGACGCTGAGGGTCGTGTTTCGTGCTGTCAGAAAAGACCTAATCGACGATTCCAGCGAAGTCTCGCTCGGGGAGCAAGGATTCCGGCCGGAAGCTCGGATACATGCGACTATTTCCGCTTCGGCTTACTTCTGTTTGTCTTGTTCGAGTCATCACAACTCACCGAACCGGTGTCGAAGTGATTGACGAGCCCCGAGGAAATTCGCCTCGGACGCATCGAGAAAGTTCGAACCCCTGTCGGGGAATGGAATCTTGGGGAACGCAAGCTTTGATCAAAAGCTTTTCGAAAGTCGACTGACATATGACGGAAGTTGGGACGCCACAGCGACGAGACGCCACAATTCGAGCCCACGAAGGCACGTCGGGAGTCAACTTCGTCGCAGGAACGGTAGGAGTGCTCGGGGAAAGTCCATCCGATTATCAGATTGGTGAACAGACTTCCGGCAGCGTTTCCCCAATCAGAGCGGATCTCCAGGGAACAGTTCCCTCGTTATCGGCGAGCATTCGCTGCATTTCTTCCCTGCGCTGACCCGCAATGAAATTTTTGTCCGCCTATACTGCACTCTGATCCCCAGTTGAGCCTTGATGTAGAAACCACGACCGCCAGGATATCTATGTTCGCCCGATCGTTTCTTCAGTGCGTGTTTTTTTTTCCTGGATAGTACTACCCCGGAGTCTAGCCGGGGGCACTCCTCGGAGGTGATTCCGCGGTTTTCCCTCCATGTTTTTATCCGAATCAGCCCATACACTCTTCACAGAGCGTTTTTGTGGCGTCGCCGAACGGATTCGCGCCGAACTACGACGAGGATCTCGAGGAAGGAACCAGTATCGGCTTCTACAAAGGGAATGTTGTGTTTATCAAGCCAATCTACAAGAAGAGCATCGACCTCACTCGCAGCATACGCAAAGAACTCATCCAAGTAGGTGCTTGTAGGCGGAAGATCAACGAGAAATTCAATTACATTCATACAGATAGGAAGCAAGTCTGTCGCAATGTGAAATTTCCGCCGGTCGTTCCTCCCACAAGCTATGGGTCGCTTGACATTCCGACCGCAGAACCATCGCAGCATGTGCGCGGGGAGCGGACTGAAGCTGGCAACCTCAGAGAGACATGGCGGACATTTTTTCCGTTGAGGAATTGACCCACTGACAGAAGCGCTTCTCGGAGCCAGGACACAAACCCATTCGTTGGGTTTTGTGGAATGCATCGTCGCTTGCTTGTAGAAAATGTCTGCGTTGACCTCAAAGTGTCTCGAATGATGAAACGCGACGCGAACAAATGGTGGAAAGCAATCCGATATCATGACCGAAAAAAGCAAAGAGCCATTCGGCTTTAAATATTCAGAGCGCAAAGCTCGGGCGAAGTGCCAGCCTATGTGATACGAGCCTAGGATCATACTCTCTGCTTACAGATGCGAGAAATGCGCCACGAAAATATCAATCCCTTCATCGGAGCATGCGTTGATCCACCAAACATCTGCATTTTCACCATGCATTGCGCTCGGGGCTCTCTCGAGGTGAGTCACGCGGAATTAGGTACCAACTCTTGGAATATCCGAACACTAGATTGGGCTCGAACTAGAGGTAAGAATCGCCCGGAGCAGTATCCAAGACTGTCTCAGCGGGGGCGGGAGCAGGCGAACGACTTTGCGCGTGCGTCGCGATGCTTTCGGGAAGACGACGGTTTCCCAAACATCGTATCTCGACGAATCTTCCCTATTGATGTTTCAATATTCGGAACTTAAGCAGCTCCCCTGCCAATCCGGTGGGAATCGTTCCCCACATGAAGAGTTTCGTTCTTACGCGGCATGCGTATGAACCGTGCGAAAGCTGTCCGCGTTCAACGAAGTCGGCTCATACGTAGAGCTCAATGACGTCGATGGGATGTCTAGGCGCCGTTGGAAGGCGCCCGATGAAAACCAAACTTATCGCGACAGAACGGGATGCGTCTGAATGCGGTCTTCAGACCGCTGACGGCTCCCGTAGTATGTCCCTCGGATGGCATAGTCGAGTGACACATTGTAAACAACGGAGCGACAAACGGCGGAGTTCTCGCTATTCTTGGCGTGCGAGCCGACCTGATGGCTGGTGATCCTTTTCAGGACGTCCTGAGAAACGAAGATCTCACATTGGACGGGATGTTCATCTCTTCGCTTGTGGCTGATCTCCTTAAAGGAATGATTTACATACACGACTCAGAGATCGTCTCCCACGGCAATCTGAAATCGTCGAACTGCCTCGTGGACTCCCGCTGGGTTCTTCAGGTGGCGGATTTCGGTCTCCATGAGTTCAAATGCGGTCAATCGCTGCCGAACACATCGCGTCGGAATAGGGGTGAGTCAGAATTAAGTTCCGAAACACTTTTCTCGTCTACCACGGGGGAACGGGGATTCCCTCCTGAAAACGACCACAAATAATGTCATCAAGTTCAAGACCGAAATCGTTACCCTCGTACATCGCAATCCGTATTCAGCTCTTCTGTGGAGAGCGCCCGAACTCCTGCGACATCCATCTCCACCGGCGAGAGGGACTCAAAAAGGCGACATCTATTCGTTCGGGATCGTACTCTACGAGATCATAGGCCGTGCCGGGCCATGGGGACCTGAAGCTCTTCCAACGAAATGTGAGTCCACCGACTAAAAGCTCTCTCTTCGTGGTGTTTCCGGCTCCCTTGCGGCAGGGAGCGACGCAACGACGTGTCCTCCGTCCCCTCTGGTTCCATACCCATCACGGATGATACCCTGGCAGCTCGGCCCGGAGCTCAATGCATTGAAAAACTCAATGCATATCCTCCCGGGCTACGGGCCGAGAAGCTCCTGAATAGCGCCGTGAGCCGCAGGGAATGACCGGAAGCTTTTATTTGAGCTCAATTTTCTCTCCAAGACATCATCGACTCCCTCATCGATCCTCCGGACATTCAGAACCCTCCGCGACCGCCTCTGGAGGTTCTCGATTGTGCCGACTACGTGGTTAGATGCCTCCGGGAATGCTGGGACGAGAACCCCGAAATACGGCCCGACTTCCGTTTTGTCAACGTACGCCTGCGAGAAATGCAGGCTGGACTGTGAGTACAAGGGAAAGGAAGACGGGATAATAGGAAAGGAGAATCCACAAGGCAGTTCCTCGACAATCAGGCCATCGTTGCAGGAAACCGAATATTTTTGATAACATGATTGCCATAATGGAGAAGTACGCATACAATCTGGAGTCACTCGTCCAGGAACGGACATATCAGTTGCTCGAAGAGAAGAAAAAAACCGAGAATCTATTATTACGGATGCTGCCGAAGCCAGTTGCCGAACAGCTGAAGCGTGGCGAGCCGGTGAGTGGATGATGCGCGATTATTCTAACCCCTCCCCCCATACAGGATCGGGATTATGACTCCGTAAATACGATCCGGAACGACTCAGAACGGGATGAATACCGGCTCGATGCGATATTCCGCCGAAGGTGTCGAGGGTGTCGAGTCGAGCTCTGGATTCTCGTTCTCAAAGCGTGACGACTCTTAATTCATCAGTCTCATTGTCACTCCCCCCATGGGGAAGAGAGAACCATCCCTGGAATGGGGGTTCTCCAGAGTGACGAGACTCTCTTTTTTCAAGTTGATAGTCGGGAACACCGTGATCCTTCTCCTTGGGAGCTTTTCCTCTGTCCCCTATCGATTTCGAGACCAGGAGAAAATTGGAGTTTTCAAAGCAGATTTCGTTGAGATATGTTCTCCGCCATCTAGCTGTGTTGTGCGTGATTTCAACAGGGCGTAGCCTGCCTTCGATCGGCAGAAGCTCGTTTGAAATAGAAAATAGAAATGAAACGAAAAATGAAGAAAGCAAAAACCTCCGCCCATTCCGCAGGTACAAGCCGAGAGCTTCGAGTCGGTTACGATTTACTTCTCTGACATCGTCGGCTTCACCGAGCTGTCGGCCAAGTCGTCCCCCCTGCAGGTGGTGAATCTCCTCAACAGTTTGTACACCTGCTTCGATTCGATCATCGAAAACTATAACGTGTACAAGGTAGAAACGATCGGGGACGCGTACATGGTTGTCAGCGGTGTCCCGCTGAAGACCTTCGACCACGCAGCGCAGGTGAGACTCCAGGGCATCACAGACTCGGTCATGCTTCTCCGACGGGACGGATGGACAGATAAAATTATTTCCGCATTTAGATTGCGTGCATGGCGCTGCACCTCCTGGCAGCGATTGCCAGCTTCGAGGTTCCACACCGACCGGGAGAACGTTTGAAACTCCGGATCGGTATCCATTCGGGCCCTTGCGTCGCAGGCGTTGTAGGTCTGAAAATGCCACGCTACTGCTTATTCGGAGACACAGTCAATACCGCTTCGAGGATGGAGTCCACGGGAGAAGGTGAGAGACTTTAGTCATTGGAGTTCATCAGAGTTTTTTCGCCGCTCTTCGGTTCTAGCGATCCATAACGAAATGATTCGTCCTTAGCTCTGCGGATCCATATAAGCGAAACGTGTAAGAAACTCCTCGAGAAATCCGGAGGTTTCAACATCGAAGAAAGGGGACTAACTATGATCAAGGGCAAAGGCGAAATGCGAACTTACTGGCTCCAAGGCAAAGCCGATCAAAGTCCACCGAAGTTGTCACAATCGGTGTCGCCGTGCCCGGTTCCGGCGCAGTACACGAAGTTTTCTGCACAGTTCCTGCAGCCGGTCTCGATATCGACGAATCTAAGATCGAATAGCTTGACTGGAAGCTGGTCTCCCGCGACGGCTTTCAAATATCCGGGTCGAACTCGTAGTACTGGCGGAGGACGTCTTCCATTTTTCCGAGGTCTCGACTAAGAGGGGACGTTCAGATTCTTCTACCGATAACACCTAATCGTCCGCATGTTTTCCACGGGATGAATTCTCCAGCTGTACACACATAAAATAACGGGAACGAGACGGAGCATCGACACCGAATCCTATCTTCGACGGAAAATAAAAGAAATTGGAGGTTCTTGAAGATCACTCCGAACGAAACTGCCGAAAAGGTTGTTAGTAGAGGTCGGAGCTTATGATCGTGTTATATGATATCAGATACTAGGAATCGACTAGTGAAGTCACACAGCACTGGAGCTGCCCAAAATGTTCGAGTGAATGATCCGTATCGTATTTTCTCCGACGGCTTGGTCTGCTCATAATTAAGCTTCGTCGAAGCGACCCGGGAGCGATGGACGGTAGACGGACTGACTGACTCTTGGTCTGATGCTCGCAAGACGAATATTTTTTCGGATTGAGTGGATTGTGATATGGGGATTCCAAGTGAGGAGCTCCACTCCCAGGGACGCATTTTGTCGAAGTCTCTCCGCATTGCAAGATATGGAGAGTCACTGGAAAGATACGTGTATCGTAGTATCGTAGCTTCGGAAACAAAATTTAATGTCTTCTGAAAAAGTTACCTGAATGATTTGGATGTGCTCCTTCATTCGGCGCAGCCCCGCAGGAGCGCGCTTACGGTCAAATGCCGACAAGATGCGAGACGAGGATGGCAGGAGCACCCTCTTGGGAAGCGTCCGCGGAGAACTAGCGTGATGGGGAAGCGGTATCGATTTAGATCGGTATCCAACTCCCAGTATGTGATGAATGAATGAATGTGATGTCTACAACTGTTTTCTGAAGTGCTCTGTAATCCTATATTGATAATCTTTGACATCATGGAGCCCGGAGAGGGGACTATTTTATGGTTGCTCTTCAAACTCCCCGCTCTGACGAATGCTGCTGCCGGTTTCCCTCTCCGTCGGGTGCTTTGAACGACACTCGGTAAACTGAATGGAGGAAGTCGAAAAGGGAGCGAATAACTGTCTGGAATTGTGACTCGCAGGGAAGATTCCCCAATTGAAGATAGATCGATACAGCTGCAGAACATTGCGAGTCTGGGAGAATCATCGAGGGTCAATGATTTTTGAGGAGCAACGAAAGTTTTTGCGTGATTTGCCGAATTTACTCAGAGACAACATTTAGCTTAACAAAGCTGCCGATTGTACAGAAGGAGAGGACACGAATATACCATGAAGTTTTTTTTGGGAAATCTGTGGAGGAAGATGCTGAATATCGGAGAGCTCTGCCAGCATATCGAACCCCGTAGACAAAACGCAAGGTTCCATTCGTCGTCGGTTATTCGACTCAGAAAGCCTCGATATAAATCGGCTCGCTTCAATAATAACGAGTTCCTAGAAAACCTCTCGATGATCCCGCTCCGCCGAGCGAATGTCGGAATTGGAGGTTCTTCGGTCGGTATCGTCAAGTAGAGGTTTCGTCCTCCGATTTGAGGATCAGTTCGAATGAGGCGCGACATACATCCTAATAATGGAATGATGTGTATCATGTAATTTCGATTCATACGGGTCTGCCTGGACCCTTGGAAGAAACAATAAACTCGTCTATTTTATTACGCAACGGCTAGTCTTCTTGATTCCTTTCCCCTCCAAAATCTCGCAGGTGATGAACTCCGATCTCATCACCGTCAGCCGAAATACCCCTCACGGAGGGCTACCTGGCTTGAAAAAATTTAAACAAAGATCGAAGGCCGGCAGTTCTCAAGGCCGCCCCGAAAGATTTGAGAGCAGTCTGACGCGAAGAACATATCGCTGCTTCGAGGGGGACCGATAGGGTAGACCGCAACGATAGACCTCGGCGAGTATCGACGATACACAGAGAAAGGGATCGATCATTGTTGAAAACTGATATTGGGTGGGTCTCGATTTCACCTCAACCGAAGTCTCCGAGCGAGCGTTGGGACGAGCGTTCTCTTCAAGACAGGGAGATTAGGAGGAGTCGCATCCCGATACAACCGATGCTCTTTTCGACTCGGGGGCTCATATATCACATGGGGGGAATTAATTTGAAAGGCCAGGGTCTCCTAGGATTCGGAGTCTCATTGGATCCCCTCCCGTTGAACTTGCCCTGAGAGCTACTCCCACCGGTCAGCAGCCGTCCAGCGGCCTACTGTACTTCCCCGTCTGGGCTCATTTCGAGACGGCTCATGGTCTGCACGTCGGAACCCTCTATGCGTGTTCTGTTTCACGGCCATGAATTCGGCCTGAGTTCGGAATTCTCTTGGACCCGAGGAGCTTGAGGCCGATCGGCTCCCCAGGGTTGTGAATTATGGAGCATCCGAGAACTGAAGGAACCGAGACGGAGAGCTGGGAATACTCTCAGTCAGAGAGCCTGGAATGTTCACTGCAGGAATCTTGACCCAGATTGCCGCTCCGCGATAAGGAAACACTTCGCAGCCTACAGAAACAACAAATCGAAGAGGTAGCTCCCGAGCCGATTCGACAAACCAAACGAAGTGTTCATTTGTTTTTCTTGCGACCGGCGCAAAGCTCCCTGTCAACACGGCTGCCACCCGCGAGGAGACCAGTCCTTTCTCCACCCGCTATCCGAGACGCAACAGAGAGAGAATTATCGTTTTCGACGTGGGACCCACCTACGTGCTTTGTGTGACGGAAGGCAGAGAATCTACTTTTTGCGAGTTTCTCCCATCAACTCGCACGACGGAACATTCTGAGGAACGTTGTCCTTTTTTCGCCGAGCAGCGTATGGCGATCAGCTCGTTCCGAGTCTCCGTTGTGGATCCAACGCATGGATCGCTCATCGTGACGGTCACGTCCGGGCACCCAGCAATCAAGCTGGGCAATAAATACAAATGTATTTCTTCCTGTTCGACCTAACGATGACTCAATATGATACGGGCGTCATGCGGAAGTGACAGTTGTACGTACGTAGGTATCTCACCGACAGACCTACTGCATCCTGCCGAAATGTTGAGCCGGCCGACGTGTCCGTTTTCGGAGCGGGAAAAGCTCCGCCCGGCGTTCGACGGTGGGTCCACGATCAAAAATTCCACGATATCTATTCGAGGCTCGTGGTCTCAATTTCTTCCTGCTCGATTCGCGCCGCTTTCATCGTAACCGAGGATCTAAAAGCCCGGCCTCGACGCTCGAGTATCAATATTTAATTGATCTCTCCTCTTTGATGGCTGTATCACTCGTTCGGCGTTTACGTCGAAAGCGCTCGTACGAGCCTCGCCCCATCGATTAGTGGACGCTTTCGGTGAATGAATTAGCCGAATAGATAATGGATCGTTCCAGAGCGTTGACTTTGCATGGGCTCTCTCCGAGGCCGGAAGAACAAAGCGCGCTCGTTCGCAGACTCGTCCGACCGCAGCCTAAGCTGACAGTTCGTGCCTCCAAAGATTTTCGCTTTGATTGAGTGTTGATCCCCTCTGCTACGAGGCCAATGTTGTCCTATGCAGCGGCTACGGCGGCGATGACGACCACGACCGAGGCTGTGTTCCTTCTAATAAGGAAATGCATGAATATTTGGCGGGCGTGATAAACGCCCAGCGGTGGTTGCTTCCTTCACATTCGACGGCGGTCAGCCAACTCTCCCGGCCGCTTGTCAGATATTCTCTCCGAGACGTTTCATCTGTACGCGTTGATGCCGACGTCGGCGTAATTGAGTTAGCGCAACGGGTTAGATGTGCCTCATCAGAACAGTGCATTCCACATCGACCGGAAAAGGCTCCGGAGAGTATGCAGGGTTTTCCTTGGGGCGAAGATTTTCTCCCGGGAGGTTCCTCCAGGAGGCCCACAGTTCTTGGAGGTTTCTGATAGGTCTCGCAGCCAGAACTCGAGCGCGGCGGTTTTCTCCCCGTGCTGAACTCGCGCTGCCACGGTTTGGGAGACGGGCACGCCTGATCATTCTCATCGGTCCCAGACATTTTTCCAATCGAGCCCGCGATCAGTACCAGTCTTATTCGTCAGCGTTCGATCGCAAGACACTGAGGGGAAGACGCCAATCTTAGCTCGAAACTCGTATCCTTGACCCATTTGCGCTCAGGTGATCCCAGCCCACGCGACGCGGAGGATCCCCGTCGACATTTAGAGTGGAGGATTCATTATTTCGTCTTCGAAGATCAAGGCGTCCCTCCGGCGATAGCTCGGAGTGATTTCCGAACTATTTCGGTTCCATGAGCTCGATAGGGACGATGAGAGGAAGAGGTTTCCGCTTGGTCTTGGCCCGATTTCAAAGTCGCCGACCCCCGCCCTCGATCGGACCGATTCGCATTGACATCCGAGCTTTTCGTTCATTTGGAAGTTTTGTGAGAAATATCATCCAGCGACGAGCAGTTGGGCCCCACGCTTCGTATTGCGCAAAATTCCGCCAGAAGAAGTCTAGCGTCGACGCTTCTTGAACCGTTTGGTGGACGGCCATGACTCGCGATCGATCCCATCTTTTCCCCGAACCCTCCTCAGGCCCTCCTCTGTCTACTGCTTCCGTTCGGGAAGGTCGTCGCACTTTCGGGAAGGGGGAGGGAGCACTGCGTTTCAGCGGAGGTTTCCGTCCGACTCTGAAATGACAGACCCCGCAAGCAGCGCGAAAGGAAAAATCTTCATGGGACCGATTGTCGCCAGAAGCCCCAATCCGGAAATCAGCATCCCGGGGGGCGGGACTCCAGAAGCGATAACAACTAGACTCGGTTCGAGCCCGGCTCTGAGCCATCATTGTCTCTCTAGCGAGGACCGTTTCTGATTACAGTCCTTTGTCGGAGCTGTCGTCATATCTAGGGACCGTTGGAAATTCGTGCCCCAATTCCTCTGGCCGCGTGACAAAGGTGACTCGACACGTGTCTCTTTCTTTCATACGTGTCACTCACGATGCCGAGGGCGAGCCGCGGCGGGCGGCCTTGTTATTACGTCCGATTGCAGCGCGATCTGATCGCGCCTATCTTTGACATTCACGACCGCTCGAAAGAGGACGCTGTCACGCAAGTTGCACCTTGAGCGAAGTCGATT